AAAATTACGAGTTCAATCAGCGTAAATGCGTTCTTTTAGCTCGAGTGTCCTCGAAACAGGAACATCGGTTGCATCGGCCCACGTATTTTGTCAGTGACATTACTCACAGCCCACTAAACGGGCTTTTCTCGTCTACACGGCCGATCGCGTTAAATTACCACACATCGCGGAGACTGCGGCGATATTCGCGTGCAAAACTCGAGTGATATTGATACATTTCGCTTTGTATCGTTCGCAGAATCGATAGATGCTCCTGTGGAGCTTGAAGGATTTGCATTCCTGTCGAATCATTCAAACTCGACAATTTTTCACCAATGCATCGTTTCGCTCAATGTTCTGTGGAATTTCCGAATTGGCTGGATACATTGCGTATATGTCACTTTCTATTAGATCTTTCAAACTCAATGATTTTCAGACATTGTCCAACATGATATCTTTTTTATATCAATAAAAAACATTGAATATCACATCAATATATGGAATAAGTGAAAACTTTCTATTTTGTTTGCTGATGCTAATTTTGCAGCTATCACAACAAAGTAAATGATGTACTTACATTAATTTTAGAAATTATGTCTTTACATTAATTTGAGTATAAAATCATTAGACTTTTTTGTTATTAGAGATCTTTTACTAATAATAAAATGAAAATTTTAAGACGTTAATATAAAATTGAAACACAAATAATTAATTGCTTTGCTGTAGAATTAAATTTAATAGATATTAATGAGAAATCCTTAAGAATTATTCTTTTTCAATTGTCATGATCTTTGGAGATATCTTAAAATAAAAATAAAAATAACACAATCCGTAAAGGCCATACGAGTCACGGGCTGATGAAGGTGCCAACGATTAATTTCAATCTTAATTAATAATTAATGTGTAGAATCCTCTTTATTGAACGTTTCGACTCACTTTGGAGTCCTCCTCAACAATACATATGTGTAATTAATGTTGAATATTCCGTCAACATGAGTCACTCACAGGTTCCCGACTGTAGTGGATCCTCAAACGGAACATTCAACATGTTTCATGAGCTTTGTAAGTTTATATTAACAACAATTAAATCTGATCTTCATTATATACATTTAGTTAATTTCAGTCTCACATCTCCGAATAATGTAACGTGTTTGTCGAACATTTTATAATTTGTACGTTACAACAATTAAATCTGATCTTCATTATATACATTTAGTTAATTTCAGTCTCACATCTCCGAATAATGTAACGTGTTTGTCGAACATTATTCGGAGATGTGAGACTGAAATTAACTAAATGTATATAATGAAGATCAGATTTAATTGTTGTCAATATAAACACAAAGCTCATGAAACATGTTGAATGTTCCGTTTGAGGATCCACTATAATCGGGAACCTGTGAGTGACTCATGTTGACGGAATACTCAACATATTAATTACACATATGTACTCGTATTGTTGAGGAGGACTCCAAAGTGAGTCGAAACGTTCAATAAAGAGGATTCTACACATTAATGATTAATTAAGATTGAAATTAATCGTTGGCACCTTCATCAGCCCGTGACTCGTATGACCTTTACGGATTGTGTTATTTTTATTTTTACTTTGGAGATATATTATGTCATACTTTAAACACAATCTTGTCTTGTACGTATTCTTAACACTGAAAGCTTAGCACTTAGATATGATTATTTATTATAACGTTATCATTAAACCGTTTTATTTATTTTTACATACTTACTTTTTATTTATTTTATTAATTTTATTTTATTACATTTTACGAAGTAAATTATTATCTTATTGCAGAGAATTACTTATTAATTACAAATTTTTATATTTTATTTTGAACATACCAACTTCACATTTATACAAAAGACTAGCTCCTTCAAGCGTAGCACAATTTTCATAAGTTGAATCTTTATAAACATTGCACTGAATCCAGTCTCCAATAAAATGTTCTCTGCAGATGACGCAATTAGTTTTGTCATCATCTTGTTTAATGTTTTCCTTAAACACTAATATTTTTTTACGGCATTCGCTGACTTTTGTTTTTTATCTTTATTTTCATTCTTACTTAGATTATCCAATATTGTCCGTCACTTCATTGTCTAATACTACCCGAACGACTTGCGATGAAAAAGCAACACTATAAAACGAGCAGCTTTAAAACAAGCAAGGTTTTAAATCCATAACTTCGTGCCAACGTAAACAGCAGCTGTACAACAAAATACACAATAACACTGTCTTTATTATCGATATAGAGAAGTTCCGTCTCTCACGTATATGGACTTGTTACTTGCTAGTGGCTTAATAAATGATTTAAACAATTCTTGTCTCATACTAGCCTCTGTACAATATATTACCCGACCTTCCCCTGTATCACATATTTATGTCAAGAAAATCTGTTTGAAGTGTAAATAAAAAGTAAAAAACTTTAATTCTCTCTTTAGATTTAAAGTCTAAAGATAAAAATAGTTCAATGTTGAAAGAGTATATTTTCTTTTATATATATTTAAGATATAATTTTTATAATGTATGGAAAAAGAAAGGCAATAAACATAAACGCTGACATACTTTAAAAACAACACCCAGAATTACAAATCTTAACACAATCATTTAACATAATTAAGTTTGTTTGTTTATTTGTAATTTTTAAAACATTCTGCACGATACTGAAATAATAAATGAAAAAATGTAGGAACAAGGTAGGAAATAAGTATGCTCGAATATTGTAGAGGGAAAAAATAAAATCCGAATACTAAAAAGGTATAAGTAAAATGAATAAACATATTAGTGCGAGCATTCGTTCTATAAAAAAGAAATATCGTATTTGTCTGCCGTTAATAATATTTTATCATTTTATTGCGAGTTTTTTTATTTTTAAAAAGAAATATTTTAAATTCTATAATACATCGATACGTATTAAATTCATTACACATTAATGTAGATATGTATGTGAAAAAGATAACACTTTTTTTATTTAAGATAAAGATGGAGATAATATATATTCTAATAATCTAAAAATAAGATGAAATGAATTCTTTTTGTAGATAATTATCTAGATAATTTGATAACTGCAAATATTAAACATGATGGTTCATTTGTTAATAATTGTTAGATTTCTTTTCATAGTAAGTAAAAAAATCTGTATAAAACTTTGTCAAATAAAATTATATCAGAAATATATAACAGAAATTACTCCATCGATTTTATGAAATAAAAAAAAACAATTAATTCTTAGTACGACAGATACAATATCATTGTAAAAAAATTGGTTAACGAGTTCATGAATCTTTGTCAACTTGTTCCTTCAAACATGAAAGTGCATGCAACACTGGTTCATTCGTCTCGATCGGCATCGTTTCTTCCATCAGCTTTCCACGTTTGCCGAGGACGAATAGCCTAGGTCAGGCATTCGTGACGTTATGTGGGTCAAAGAACCAGTTCAACAACTGGGAACGATACCATACGACAGACCGCCTGTCGACGCCGGCCCGATGACGTCACGCGACGCTATTCTCGGCGCAACGCCGACGCATTTACCGCGGTTAAAAATAAAGACTGCAGCGGTGCACCACCAAGTGCGCAAGATGACAGCCGGCCAATAAAATCGGCTTGCTCGCTTCGCTGCAGTACTAACAATAACAATAATGACGGTCATTGCACGCAGACAATTTGGTTCCTTGACCTGAAGTTTAATTCGGACGTATAACAAATGCGAGGATAATAAATAACATGATCAATAACGATCAGTTAATTAAATAAAACAACTTAACGTCTTAATTATCAAATCTTATATTAACTATAGGTAACATTAAATGTTAAATAAGGATAAATGATGAATCTGAGACATTGGAGGCATCCGAGCGACGTTTCCGAACGCATCCAATATACTAACGTAATTGTGTGTTTAAATTTCATCTTAAATATCATACACAATTAAAATTGTCCGATAACTAAATAACAAAATGCAGGTTAAATTTCTCATAATATTTAAATATATAATATACACTGAAAAGATTTACACACATTAAAACTAAATCTTAGTATTTCATTTCTTTGAATAGTACTGAGTAAACTGTAAATTTATTTACGGTAAATAAGTATTTACCGAATAAAAAAATAATAATTAAATCAAATTAATGGTCCTTGTATTAAATAAATATGTGTGTACACAGAGAGAAAAATGTTTGGTATTTGTAACTATAATTATATATTACTATAATTATAGTTACAAATATCAAACATTTTTCTCTCTGTGTACATTTAATAAACATTTATAAAATTATTCAAACAAATATTTATTAAAATTTAATATTTTTCTCATATAACATAGACAAATATCAAATATAAGCACCATATATATGTGAAATACACTTTTTAGAAAAACACTATCGAAAATAGGTTATTGTATAATTTACATCATAGTCAACGCATACCAATTTCCATAATGGATCTTACATGTTGCTCTATAATGCTGAAAGGAAATGACTCGTGGATATAATGCAATAGACAGTAGATAGCAATAATGAGAATTTGAATGGTGTATATACAGCACACACTGTTGCGCTGTTTGATTAGTCATACGATAATATAGCGACATTTCTTGTCATTGCTTTGATCTTGAGATAGTTCCAGTCGAACAACAAGTTTTCCTATACCGATATATGTAGATATTCCCTTATGATATTACATGTCATATATATATATAAATGCAAATGTCGATACAGATATAATGCATAAGATTGCTTTGCTATAGAATGTTATAACAGAGTTTATCGAAAAAATAAGAATTTTCGATATACCTATGTTAGAAGCAGTTGCATATCTTACATAAAAACGAGTATATATACGGAAATTATTATATGTTATTGAATATAATTGAAAATTTATTGAATATGGTTAAAAGTTATTGAATATTATTATGTAAAGTTAGATAATATATATGTACGTTATAGTTAATATCTACGAAAAGTTTGCGAAATCAGTTAATAATAATGTTGTTGTATTTCTGCTTCCAGAGTTCGCGTTGAGTATTATGTGAATGAAAATACATTCAAGGAACGACTGCAGTTGTACTTCATCAAGAATCAACGTTCGAGTAAGTAAATATTGATTATGTATGGTATGTTTATAGTAAATTTTAAGTTGTAGATATGTGTAACAAAAGAGAGAAGTTTTTATAGAAAGTTACAAGATTTCGTAAATTCAACTACTACAATTTACATCGTCAATCATAGAAGTGTTAATTAAATTTGTATTTCAACGTATTCTGTTTTATTCTATATTTCTGTGATAAAAGCCGTGATACGATTGTTACAAAATTAATTGCTATAAAAATTTGCTACAATTCATATATGATATCATTGATACATTTGATATCACACATACATACACACATCTCTCATTGTACAGAGAGATTCGCTATCATAAACTCGTATCTATAGTTCTATCTCACGCTATTTGATAGCATTATTACATTCTGTACTATATTGTGACACGTGAAATACATACAATAAAATATATATGTGTCACGTTTTATCTATCTATTATTACATAACTTTCCAAATTTTCTGCTTTATTAACAACTGTAAATATTAATATTTCAAAATATTATTACAATTTGGTATTTTAAATAAAATATAACAACAAGGTACATGTATATGAAGATGAAAATGTTTTTAATAAAAGTAATGATATAACTTCCAAGATAAGTTTAACTACATCGCCGTATCATTGTTACATTTCTACCAAATTTGTCGGCGGAAATAGCCAGATTGTCGTCAACAGTCTTCTGGCTTGCCGCGAAGCGATCTCGATTGCTTCCTTTTGAAATAGCGAAGCCGTTCCAAAAGCAATCTTAAGAATATCACCACCATCTCTGTGGATATTCTGAAAGAGCACAATTGTGCTCTTTTGGAACTGTGATGACGGTAACCGTTAATAGATATTGTGCCACTATACGAATTTCTTTTTGCTAGTGTTGGCCTTTGCATCTGACTTATGCATTAAGATGTAAATCCAACAGGTCAACGCTTTATTGCTCTTTGTGAAGTTTGTCGCGGGCAACTGGTTAAAGCATCTCATTAAAGCTATCAATACTCGGTCAATACTCGACCTAAGCATAGACCAATCCTACATAACAATAAGTCTTATTGCTTGTAAATTTTAATATCTTTTCATTATATACTATGCTATACACTCTATGTTTTTTGAAGCGATTGTTTATCATGTTTAATTTCCGACAAATAGTTTTCTCAAATTATTCTTTTATCTTATAAAACTTTCACTGTAATTATCAAATTTAGAAATATTTTCGGTTTATAACTAAATAATTTTACAAAGCGTTGGCCACTTTTATTTTTAATGAAAGATATTTCGGCATTAGATTTAACTTAAGATAAAAATGTTGAAGAGAAGAGATATTAATATTTTAAGAATTTTTATATGAAAAGAGAACTACTGAAAGTTTTGAAAATATTGAAAGAAAGTATTTATATCTAGAATTTAGTAACAGAAGGTAGTGTAAAGACGTTTCAATTACTTTTTAAGATTCACATTTATAATTTAGATTGTAAATCTAACATACATATATCTATTATATAAAGTTATAAATTGAAGTATGTTATATTTTATTACTTATATTTAACATATGAAAAAGGAAAAGAAAAGAAAAAACTAAGACAAATTATATACTTACTAAAAAAAAAAAGAGAAATGAATTGAATGAATTACAACAGAAATGTAAATTAAATGAAAATGTAAAAGTCAACAAAAAAAATGAAATTTATATTTCAGGCTTGAGAATACGACTTGCCAATCTCTTCTTCAAGCTCTTAACATGCTTCCTGTATATATTCAGGGTTATTACCGACAACGATCCAACGTTCGCAGCATGGTAAGCTACATTAAATATTCAAGTAAATCCTTTTAAGCGTGAACTTTGCATTAAACTTAATCATGTCCACATTTGAATTTTTCAAATTCGAATATTATCATAGATTTTTGGACTGTTCGAAAATCGTTCGTTATCTGTCTAAATTGGATTTATTTTTATTTTTTAATTTGCGTGTGTGTGTGGGAGGAAGAAGAGAGTTTCATATTTTTTCGCTTCATTTATTTTACACAAATAAAAAGGAAAGCATCTGAGTGTTTTATGGAACAGAGAATGAACAATTTTTTTTACATTTCCTTTCGATTTCGAATTGTTTGGTAAAAAAAATCATTAAGTGTTTCTATTATTAAGTTGTTGACATAAATTTTATTTTTTTATTAAAAGTAGAAATATATTCACGTTAGTGGAAGAATTCTAGAATAAAAGAAAATGTAAGAAATCTGGAACATCCTATGTAGCAGCATGAATTGCAATGCTGAAAATAAAGAGATTCTTTTGGTTTCATTCCGTTTCGTCGCCGACGGACGATTTTCTAGAAAAATTTTATCTTCCTAGGTAGGAGTTCGCTCTAACATGTGAGCAACGCGATATTCATGCACGATTACAATATTATGCAGCATTTCTATCATGGCTCAGAATAAGACGCAAATAAGATAGTACGACAATTACGATGCGACGTGTTATTGTTTGCATGCCTGAGAATGGCACAATGTTTCCAAAGATTTTACAATATATCTCTTTGTATAATATTTTCGAATAAATAATAATTTGTACCTTATATCCGGACATTATTAATATTTTGTAACTAGTACAAATATTAATTTAGTACTTGTACGGGATGAACCATCATTTCTCTCTTTTATAAATACTATTTCATAAACATGAGATAACCTTTTTAACCTAGAGATAATCTTCTTAACAAAAGTTTAAGAAATTTATTACGATAATAATTTTACATAAGATTGTAATCTTTATTATTAGCTTTTTGTTAGATAAATTACAAATTTTAATCGATATATTTTAATTTCTTAAAGAGTTTTTATCTTCTATTTTTTAAACTTCTATTTTTTAAAATTTATCACAATCTTTTAATATGTGAAGCAATTTTATAATTAAAATCAATAATTCTATTGAAAGAGAATCCATCTAAGTTTTTTATAAAATGATCTTAATCAAATTACCCTATTCTGAGATATGTTGTAATATTTTGTGATTCTGCGACCAAATGTTTCCATTACCACAACTACAGAAAGTCAAAAGATAAGGAAGATTGAAACTCTGAAGAATCTGACATGATCTGACAATGAACTGTTATCTCTCTTTAAGATAACATAATGTATTTCTTTATGTAATATAATATGTAAACATGCACGTACATTTGTAAGAAATGTGTGAGGTTCTTTTTGTTAAAAAACTATTGACTCTAAATTTTTGAAGAAAACTATTATTGATGGAAACAGCAATCTTAGTAAAAGTATATAGACATATAAAATTTCGACACGAAAATTTTAATAAAAAATACGGTTTTGATGGACTGTATAAACTTTTTTCGACATTCGGTATTTTATTCTTTCTATTCTTTCATGTGATGTGATACTTGAGGGTATCCTTCAATGCGATCCAAACGATGTACTCGATATCGAAAATCTATCGAATTCGTGCACGCCAAATACTGCGCGACAATCCATCTCTCTCTATTCACACACTCATCCGTCACTTATAATCCTTCTTTCTCTATCTCTTCCTAGTTACGGTTGTATACCCGGCAACAAGACCGAGTTTCTCGCGTCGCAGAACTTGACGGAGGAGGAATTCCAGGAACACCCGACCATCAATTGGGATGCGATCTTATGGGTCAGAAGACCCTTAGAGTTATGGGTTGTCCAAGTCATCTTGGCTATGGTGTCGTTAACCGAAGCTTTGCTACTTGCCTACCTCGGTTACAAGGTACGTCATCTTTCCCTCCCACAAATAAATTCTGTTTTTATTACTCGATATTCGATTGCCTAAGCACACTCGTTATTTTATTGGCTTGCTCACCGAAGAAGTTTATGGTTTATACGATCAAAATATTTCTCTTCTCTCTCTTTACTCAGAATTTCCAAGTAGTAGTTGAACCTCATGTTTATTTAAGCGTAAAATAAAAAAATCGTGTCTTACATAGCTATTAGCTTACTAATTCTTTTAGTAGTTGTACAAAGAAAATTAACTAATAGCCAAGGAAAAAAACTATAGTAGCTGTCTATTCTGGACTAAATAGCAAATAAAAAAATAAAATAAAATATTTACCTTTTTTTATTGAAGATTATTTTTCTTCTTTAACATTTTATTTATCTAATCCCCAGACAACACAATTTAAATGAAAAATTCTTTTATACCTGGTAGGACACAAAACTCCTGACTTTGAGTTTTTTACTTCACATACTGCGCTATTACTACGTTATTGATAAAGACATTTCGTATTGTCTAAATAACACAGTTATATAATTTTCTAATAATATTTAATTCAATGAGTGAAATAAACACACAATTTGGGTTATAAATTATATTTTTCCGTATTTTTATTATTAATTTGATTAAAACTGTAAAGAAAACTCTCCCGTGTAGAAATGAATCTAGTCGATTTGATTCAAGACCTAGTAGATATAATAGTAACGATTAGATAAATTTTCTAATTTATCACTGGGTAGTTACCAGTTGCATATTCATAGTAGCTAGATTGTATGTTTCAGATACAACAGCATCCTTTATTACTATATTTTTAATGTTGTAACTAGAGAGCAATTACATTACAAAAACTGATTATGAATATGCAACTAGTAACTACCCAGTGACGAGTTGGAAAACTTATCTATTCGTTATTATCTACTAGATCTTGAATGAGGTTGACAAGATTTATTTCTACATTGGTAATTAGACTAGGTTAGAATGTAAAGCAAAAATGTATATTAAAATTTTCTCCTATTATAAAGTCACTTATACAGGGTGTTTCCAAATTAAATGGCAAAACTTCGGGAGCGTGTAGAGGAGTAAAAACTAAGAAAAAAAGTCCTATGGACATATGCTCCTTTTTGTTTTGTTTCGCAGGAAATCACGAAAAAAGAAAAAAATATATTTAATTTATTATTTTAATTATTTTATTTATAAACTTTTTAATGAAGATTTTGTTCGAAA